GGCGTTTCGGATGGCTCTCCCCCATCTTTCAGCAATGCTGTGCACGAGCACGCGAGGAGCACCAACCAACCCCTCTTCGCCCGACCAACTCAATCATTCTGCCACGGGCTTTGAAGATTTCTTGTGAGGGCCCAACCGCGCACGAGAAACTTCAGACGAGGCACCGCATTTCTTCCCTCCCGCTCGCCGCCGCAATTTACCCCCGACAAGCACACTCCTCGACAACCCGATTACTCGATATCGCTCCCCGCTAGCGAAACGAACGAACGAACGAACGAACGAACGAACGAACGGACGAACGACTTGCGCGCGCCATGCTCACCCGCTGGACGACACTGCTCACGGCTGCCGTCGCCGTTCTGGCGACGGCCGGGCTGGCGATGGACATCAGCCAGGACCTGAGCGAGGAGCTGGCCATGGGATGGAAGATGGGCCTGCGGCCGCGCCAGAACGCGCAGAACCTGCAATTCTTCGACGGCAAGGTTGGCGGCGCTGGAGCGCCTGGGGTGCGTCTGCGCTGCGACCCCTGACAAACGTCATTTTGCTGCTCCGGGACTGACGAGTGGGGACGAACGAATAGATCACGCAGTCGAATGACCCAGACAGGCCGTTCTCGGTGGGCGGCGACACTTTTGTGAGTTCTCCCTCCGTGGGGCGCGATTGTTCGATCGGCGCATGCTGATGCGCGTGGGACCACCAGCCCGACTTTGACACGGCGGCCGGCCGGGCGTGCGACAACCAAAAGAACGACTGCGCCAGGCTGGCGAACAACGGCGGCGGAAACTTTGAGGTCAGCGATTGTGACAAGCAGAACAGTAGGTGTCCATTCCCGTCACTGGGTCATGCTTGACCGATGGCTGACATGATGCCAGACGACTGCAAGCAGGGTATCAGCCAGGCGGCGCAGAAGAGCTTTGATCAGAATGCTGGCGGCGGCGGCGGCAACAACAACAATGGCGGAAATAACAACAACAACAACAACAACAACAACAGCCCGACGCAGCCTGAGAGGGCGTTGGTGAGCTCCGATGCTAACTTTGACTACTTCTGCGATGTTTGAAGGCGGGTGCGAGAGGTTGGGTAATGTTTTGATGATGATCACTCGTTGATAAGAGAAGGCACTGCCTTCGGAGGGGTTTTGCGACTGCTGGGTTCGAGGGTATGCGTCATGTTGTCGATGCTTGAAGGTTCAAGGCTGCACATAACACTTGTAATAGGTCCGCGGGCCTTTTCACTTGGATCATTTCTATCGCAGTCCCTACGTTTTGTGATCCCTCTGCCAGCCATTTCCCAGCCGTGATATCCTAGAAAGCATCAATTGCGGGGTTGATCTGGCGGTACTCAACCGAGTGAGCGTTCTGTCTCAGCCGGAGTTTGGTAGTGAGACATCGTGGGACTTCTTTCGCGCCACCCACTGTCCCGTTGTGTCTCGCGGATGGCAAGGAGGCAATGTCAGGAAGAGCAGTAGGGCCCCATTGCGCCGGCGCGATTTGAGAAACCCTAACTACAAAGAAAACCCTGAGTGCTGGTTTAGCCTCCCGTTGGTACGAAGCCAGCGCCAGGAACGCCTACGCAAGGAGCAAGAGCGGCGTCGGCCCGTTCCATATCCACAAAAAAACAGGAGCGTGTAGTGTAAGGTCCAATAATTCTGTGTGATGGACGAGCATGAGATGGCCGACGCGGACGATCGCGCAATGAGCCCGGTTGCTTTTCCCGCCATCGCAAAGTCACTTGAGGTCATCGCCATTTCGCGTCGGTGACAATTGTTGAGAAGGTGTGCCGCCGAGATGCACTGAGAGCTAGCCTGCAGGTAGGTAGGCATCGTGCGGTAGGACCCCTGGGTGGCTCAAGGATCTTGCATCCTGTCCCGCCGCCAGGCTGTGTTCGGGTACCTTGCCTTAGTACCTTACCTGTACTTCAGCCGGGACATGTACCTTGCTTTGTCTGCCTGGCCCGCAGCCGCCGTGCTTCTGGGTCCAGGTACAAATATGTGCAGCGCGAATGCTTGGGCCTTGAGGTCATGTCACCCGTCCCATTTCTCTTGGGATGTACCGTGTAGAGACACAATAGTGGACAGCGGGTAGGAGTGTACAGACTGGAATGGGGGAGAAAACGGTGAACAAAGCCTCCCCCAAGAACGGGTCATCGTGTGGCATCGATCCTTTCCCCGTCATGGCTGTGGGGAGTGTGTGGCGGTCAACTCTAGGGGTTCAGATTGCCCGAGGCCAAGAGCCTGGTAGGTCAAAGACCCGCTGTTAGGGAGCACCTTCGTCAAGCGGGAGGTTGGCGCCAGCCCCGAGGTACATCCCATCTGACCAACACGTCGCCCGAAATTGGGCGCTGGTCCCGCCTCATTAGACGGAAAATGCGCTTCCCTGTATGGCTCCTTCCCCGGGCTGGGTCGAAATTTATTATTGCAGCAGGCACCACAGGAGCACACCCACTGATGAGCTGGCTCCACGACACGTCCCTCGACCCAGCCGACAGTGGAGTCTCTCACTTTAGGGGCAGTGGAGTTCCAGCGTGCTAGGCGAACCTCCCTGGCCATTGGACCCGGTCCCCAAAGTCACGACCTTGAGCTTCCCTCGACCTGCTTTGATCCAGACCTGCCCTGCTGTCCAACCGTCCCGTTCTTTGTCGTCGACACCACCAGTCTCCCAGTCGCTCGACGCTCTCTCACGACCATCCTCTCTGTTCGGCATCCGCAGACGCCGTCACCCAGAGCCATCACCGATGCATATAGCTACAACCAGCTGTTGCTCCATCGCGTCGATGCCCCTCTGTCCGTGATCTCGTAATACACCCACCTGGCCCGTTCTCGCCTGAACCCCTGTACTCAGCATAGCATTTCAGCGCCTGCCAACTTTTTCCATCGACCTGACAGAGACAGAGCGCGTCGCGACAAAGGTTCGACCCCTATATCCATTCCCTCCACCACGCCACCGACTCTCTCACTCCTCGTCCCGTCTGCCACCCCCATCCCAGTCTACTGCTGGATCGTCGCAGCTTGCTGGTCGAGATAAACCCGATCACGGCAGAGGGTCGTCATTTTCACGAAAGAGCAATAGTTGCAGACGACTCGCCTCTCGTCTGCGCTGTGCTCGCTGCAGTGAGTGCACTCTCCGCCGACCGACCGGACCGACCGACCGACCGACCATACAAGGCCCGGTCAGGACACTCCAAAGTCTCTTCACTGCTGACATTGCACGCGTCCGCAGCTCTCCTCAAAGACGTCTTCCCACGCATCCCCGTCACCCTCTCCCGGTCCCTCCGCTCGGGACGGCAGCGGCTCTGCCCAACTGCCACCTCACCCAACCCCGGCATCTCCTGCCTTGTCGACCGCCTCAACAGCAGCCGACGATCAAGACGCCGGCTCCTCTCCAGTTCTTCCGCCACTCCCTGCGCCTAGGCTACCTGGGCGGGCGCAAGATCTTCTGAGGTCTACACCCAACGAAGTCGAGGACGAGGAAGCCCGCTTCGTGACCGCCAGCTGGGGCTCGCCATACTCCCAGGGCGACCGTAATCATCTGCGCGGAGAGAGCTTCAGCAGTGACCCTTCCGAGGACTCGCCTCTCCATCAGCTAGCCTTCCAGACCCCGTTTCTGCGTCCACCGCCCCAGTTTGCTCCAGGACAGGTTGCTCAATCAGACAGCTTCGTGAGCGCCGCGCAAGTCCTCGCCAATCGGGTTCGAAGACCAACGCGTGGCCTGACTGAGGACTGGATCCGTCAACATACCGCTGGCGAGAACTCTGAAAGTCGCCATTGGCTTAGTGACGGAGAAGACGAAAGCGAGCACTCTTCGCTGAGCGGCTCGCGATCTGGTGAAGAGGGTCCTCTGTACAAGGACAGTCTTCAGACCCCCCGTGCCAAGCCAGCCACTGCCACGCGCATTGCTCGTCGCACATCGTCGCACCACCCCCGAAAAAGATCCAGCGTCGAAACCTTGAAGCCCGAAACCAAGAACCAGGACATCGGTTCTCCTCTTGTCAACATGACGTCCCCCGATCTCGACACCCCCAGCCTAGATGCTGTGAGCGATCTCTCTGTGCCCATCTCATCACAGGACACGCTCGAAAGGCCACAGACGCCGCCAAAAACAATAGCAAAGGTAGAAGCACTAGGGCCTCGAACGCCGGCGAGAGTCACCTTCAAGGAGCCTACCTTGACGCCCAGGCTGAGGAAAAAGGTTCCTTGGAAGGGCAAGAATATCTTGGTCCTCCTGCCGCGGGATGACGAACGTGGCACCGATGGCAGGGCTCCTATGCCTCTGACAGCCGCCGAAACAGAACGTATGTTCTCCTCTTGGGACGAGCTCGGATATGATATCTCTGGATTCGACCTCGAGGCCGCGCAAGGTAGCCTCCAGTCTGAGGAGGGATACTCCCAGAGCCGAAACACTTGGCCCGCAGACGAGGACCTCTCGAAGGAACGGGCAGATCGGTATTTCAAGGTTACACTGCCTGACCTGAATGCCTGGAAGGACTATGTGAATGAGCTTCAAGAGGCCAAGCTACGTGCGCTGGGTGTCTCTTTCGGCGACGAGGAGCCTGCGCCTGCTCCATCAATGTCTCCCGCCATGACGGCGTCTGGATTGAGCAGGCAGCCTTCTGTGCAGTACCCGCCCTTACCTTTTTCGCCTCCTCTGCCAACGTCGTCGGCTTCGAGCAACCCCGCCATACCTGGATTCCCGTTTCCTTCGCACTTCATGCCTGGTGGACGGGCCTCTGCCGCCCAGAGCCCCGGCGTGCCGTCGAGTGCTTCACCAGCTTTCACTCCTGGACACGCTTCAAAGTTCAACCCGCGCCAGTCTATTTCCATTCCCATGGGGCACTCTCCTTTCCAGCCTGGCCATCACGCGTCGCCTTCCCTCGCAGGCGGGCACTCCCCTTTCACGCCGGGCCACCATGCTTCACCCTCGCTTGCTGGCTGGCCCATGCACCATGGACCTGGTCGTATCGATTCGCCATCGCTTTTGCACGGTGTCTTGTCTCCTGTCTCGCCCTACACGCCCGATGGCTTCCATGCAGCCAGCCCAATTTACCATGCGCACCAGCGTCACCAGTCCTTGCAATACCCCATGATGCCACACCAGCAGCTGGCGCAGCAGCCCTCAGCGAGAGCTTCGCCACGCTTGCAAGAGGTTCAGGAAGTTGACGAGGAGCCGATCAACCAGAGCCCATCGAAAACCCCGGAGCCTCACCACACGAACACGAACACGAACAATGATGACCTGCAGGCTGAGATTGATGACGCCGAGTACCATCTGGAGGAGCAGATGCGCAATGAGCTTGAGCACGACGACTACAGCCCCCACAACGAAGAAAGGGCTGCGGATGAGTTGATTTCTCTGCCCTCGGGCTCAATCTCCGAGGACCCCTCTTATATGCACAGCAGAGAAGCATCGATGCAGTTCCAGGCTCCAATGCACTTTGCGACTCAGATTGGAGACGGGCCTGAGCTGCAGCACCCTCGCCCCCATAGCAGAGGTCACTCGCTCACGAAGAACTACTTCCAAGACGAGCATCGTGACAACGCAAACCACGATGGCAGCAACAGTTTCAACGCCTGGCAGGATATGGAAACGCAGCAGGCAGACGACACTGCTGAGATTGAGACGAATCCTAGCAATCTGGGCACGCCGGTGCAAGATTTCCACCTTGCCAACATCTTGCAGCAGCACCAGCGTAACTTTAGCACCGCCAGCAACCCGTGGAGCGAGGTTGCATCTGTGACCGCCAATGCGGGGAATCAACGACGCCTGAGCCACGCAAGCAAGCCTTCTCTCTCGAAACTCAATGTCAAGGCCCCCGAGTTCAAATTCAACCCTGGCAAGGAGTTTACGCCGAGTGGCCAATTTGTCTTTGGCAACACTGCCTTCCAACCACCGGCTCAGACACAAGTCTTCCATGCGGAATCAGAGCCCTTTGTGCCATCCGTTGTCTCGCCCTCCGCCCACTCGTTCGGTGCTCCTTCATTCTCTTCGAGCATGAATGCCGGCGTCGCGCCTTTCTCGCCCGGCACCAGTACCTTCAACTTCTCGATGTCTGGGCCTAAGTTCCGTCCCGATGCGATTCCCTTTACGCCTTCTGGTGGCTTGTCGGATGCCTTCACCAGCCCGAATGCTTCAGGCGCTGACACTGCTGCGACTGGCCCTAAGTACATCTTTGGCAATATCAATCTTGCGGAAGCTCTGACTTCAAAGAAGTCGAAGGCTATCCCCATCGTCCCGCCAGTCAGCCGAGATCCTAAGCCAACTAAGGGAATTCCATATGAGGTTGATGAGGAAGGCCGTGTCGTCAACGCTGCGGGCCCCAAGCGGAGACAGGAAGTGGCCAGAGACGATGGCGATGACGTGCCTCGCTTTGCCGAGCCTACGCCGTCGCCCCAGCCTGCATTTGCCCAGCCCGTAGCATCTGTTGAGCAAGACACCGTGGACGTGCGCTCCGGCGACGACGGCGATGCGACACCCGGCGACACGACAATGTCTTCCACCAGCGTGTCCGAACAGATGGTTGACTCCAAGGCCATTACGGCGACAAGTCCATCCGATGGCGGCAGAGATCAGCTGAACTGGACTCCCTTCGACTTCGAAAGGAAGAACGATGCGCAAGTGTTCAATGATGCCCGACCTTTCGGCCAAGACTTCTTCAAGAGGGGACACAAAAAGAGCCTCTCAGCTACTGCCAAGCGTTCGTTCCTGGCGGGTCCTGGCAAAATGTTGAGGAGCCCGAATCCAATGGTGGAGGATGATGAGACGAGCAAGACCGGGACAGGGAGGCACCATTGAGCCTTCCCACTCACCCAGGTCGAGGGCTATTGACGCTCATGAAGTTGTGGCTGAGGCGGAAGGAGGATCAGATCGAGGACGCACGTGAGCCGACGCCCAGTGTTTGAGCAGCCTCTTGAAGAGAAGACAGCCCACGTCCCTGTCGAGCAACAGAGCGACCAACCCTTACTGTCCAGGGGACTCGGGGCCTCCCGCTTTGCTTCGCCTCCACCGAAGCCCAAGGGCCTCAAGGCGTCTCGATTCGCATCGCCTCCCAAGCCGGCACACAGGGAGGTCGAGTTGCCGCCATCGCAAAGTTTGTCGCCCGACGGTCGCACCTCGAACTGGGCCGACGATGTTTCCGAGGAGCTGCCCCAGTCTGGCCCGGAGCACGAACCGACTTTCGAGGAGATCGATGCCATCATGGACCACCTCAACCAAAACGACCCTATGATGGGAGTCAACAAGCAGGCCACCGAGGAGCCTCGCTGGGCTCAGCCCAGTCCTACCAGGCACATCTCTATTGCTGACGTTACCAACTCTTCTCCCTTCCACTTGCAGCCCGCAGCCCATTCCACTGTGGGTGCGTCCAGCCCCGAGCCTCGCAAATACCACCAGCTTCCGAACCTGGCTCCACCGATCCCCACAACCGAATTGGAAGGATCCTTTTCGTCGATCCCTCCCGCAGAGTGCCCAGTCGTTTCAACGCCCCTGGTACACCGCCCTGAAACGGAAGCGGAGGGGCGTTGCCAACAGCGACTGGGGATGGGTACGTTCAGCGATGATGAGCAAAGAGAAGCTTTGGCCAGCGCGTTTCAATTTCTTCGATGGACGCGTTAACGGATGTTGTTCGGCGATCTTCTCGAAGGCCCGCCTGCAACCGTTGGAAAAGACCGCTGCTCGCCATCGAACGCCATTTCGCTTCACAGGCAGGCACCTCAGCTTCGTCGCGAGCGCCGCAGCATGTCCGCTGAAGTGCAAGAGAGCGATGCCGATGACGAAGACGAGGAGCCGGTCCTGCGTCGGTCAATGAGCCCCCGCCGAGATCGCAGGATGGACCAGATCCGTACTACCATTCTCGACGCTTTCGCCATGCAGCAGCGTGGAGTTCCCGCATCGGCTCCTGCTGGTGATGCTTCCTCCGAAGTTGTCCTGCGGGCGCTGGCTGAGATGAAGGAGCAGCTTGACCAGAGCCTGCCCTCGGAGCCCCGTGGTGCCGAGCTCCGCAGCATCATCGAGGAAGTTGTCGAGCGTCGTTTGCCGCCTGTTGCGCAGCCCACCATTACGGCTGATGCCGACTCTGAATACAAGAGCAAGATTGCTGACCTGGAAGAACGCCTGCGCGTGGAGAAGGACCGTGCTGACAAAGAAACGACCAGTCGCCGTGAGTCGGAAGAGCAGGCAGCGGAGCTTCAACGGAATCTGCAGGCCGCAGAGACCCGTCTCGAGGTCGAAATCATGAACCGCAGTATCTATGATCAACGTTCTGTCGATCTCGATGAAAAGCTTAAGCAGCAAGAGGCCCAAACTGAAAAGGAGCTTCAAGCCCGACGCTCCGCAGAGGACAGACTCTCCGAAGTCCAGCGCCTGCTCCGCATCTCTTCTGAGGAGGAGAACCGCCTTCGCGAGGTCGTTGAAGAGCGTGACCAAAGGATCAAGGCGATTGAGGTGTCAGGCGCTAAGAATAATATGCGCATGTCGTTGCTCGAAGCGGACCAGAACAACAGCAACCAGTCAAGGACCGAGCTCATCAAGAGGACCAACGTGCTTGAACACGACCTCCGCGAGGCTCGACAGGAAGCTCTGCACTTCAAGGCTGAGACTGACCGTGCGGCTGAGACTTCTCGTCGCCAGCTCAACGAGCTCGATCACGCACTCGAGGAGAACAGGCAGCAGCAGAGGTTCCTTGATACTCTCGGAACACAACTCCAAGAGAACGAGAGGGTACGCGAGAGCTGGCGGTCTAAGTTCCTGGCTTTGCAGGAGGAGATGACCACAGCAGCCCGCGAGATCACCGAGGAACACTCCCGCAGGACTAAGAGGGAGCAGACACTTGTTGCTCGCCAAGAGGTTCTCGATGCTAGGCTCCAAGCCGAGGCTCGAACTAGGGAGCGTCTTGAGGCTGAGATCGAACGTCTTGAGAACGGCGAACGCCAGGGCCTGCGTGCTGTTGGTGAATGCAACCGCCTGGAGTCTCTCCTCGCCGAGTTGAGGACTGAGAACCACAAGCTCGAGCAAAAGGCCATGCGTCACCAGCGCGAGTTCGAGGAGGCCAGGGAGTCCGGAGCCAGCGAGGTTCAGCGCACGCGCCGTTCCATGCAGTCCGAGATTGACGAGGCCAACAACCAAGTCAATTATGTTCGACGCGACCTTGAGGAGCAGATCTCCAAGCTTCAGGCTGAACTTGACCAGGCCAATGTTGATGTCGAGTCAGCCAAGGCGCAGGCGGAGATGCTCGTCGAGGAAGTCCAGACAAACAAGACAACTGAGATTGAGCAGCTCAAGGAGAAGCATCAGAACGAGGTCGAGGACCTGCACACCCGCCACGCTATGCAGCTAGGCAACACTGTCGAGGAGGCCCAGAAGGCTGAACAGCACCTACTTGAGCGCCTTAGCTTCTCCGCGTCCAAGACGGAGCATCTTCAAGACCGCGTCGCCCATCTCGAAGAGAAGCTCGAGATTGCCAAGGAAGCTGCTCTTGCAGCTGCCAAGCGCGCCAAGTCGCCTGTTGTCGAGCACGCACAGCCTAATTTCGCTGCCCCTGTCTCTACTGGCGCTGCAGCCCCAGTTACGGCCGTGCCCATGCCGGCTGCGAAGTCCATGGAACTGCCGGAGAAGATCTCGCCGCAGGCACTTCGTGAATCCATCATGGTGCTCCAGGAGCAGCTGCAGGCGCGCGAACAGCGCATCGAGGAACTCGAGCAAAACATCGAGAAGCTGGATCCTGAAGCGCCAACCAAGATTTCCAAGCGGGACGACGAGATCACATGGCTGCGTGAGCTTCTCGCTGTCAGGCACGCCGACCTTCAGGACATCATCGCTGCCCTCTCTGGCGAAGATTATAACCGCGAGGCTGTGAAGGACGCTGCCATCCGTCTCAAGGCCAACCTCCAAATGGAAGAGCAGGAACGAGAGCGAGCTCTGAACGGCGGCTCGGCCATCAACCTGCTACAGGCCGCTTCTCCTCGCATGGCACAGGCTGTTAGCCCCTTCGCTGCCGCTTGGGGAAACTGGCGCAAGTCCCAGCAGCAGCAGCAGCAACAACAGCCAAGCTATCGAAGCATTTCGGGTGTCATGTCGTCGCCAGCAGGCCCTGCCTCGAGGAACAACTCGACGCCCTCGCGGTCGACCAGCTCTCAGATGCCCAGCAGCTTCCTCGGTGGACTGCTTACTCCGCCGGCTTCCAATCTACGCCAGACCCCTTCACCCAAGCCCGGACCGAGCCAGCCTACGGCTTTTAACAACACCGGCCGTCGTTTGACTTCAGCTGAGCTCGCACAACGTTCGCGCAAACCCTCTGTCACGGCGAAGCAGGCACAGAAGATGCCGCAGACCAGCTTGCAAGGCGAGACCACTCCGCCGCGCCGATTGAGCCAGAGCCACCCGGCGACGCCTCCGATGATGCAGCCCAGCTCGTATGACTCGGACGCGCACGCGGGTGACTTTGACGACAACGACTTCTTCGAGGAGGACTAAAATTTGATGTCCTTGAAGCTGTCGCTACTCTTTCCTTTGTCGAAAACGTACATCAAAGAGACGAAGACTGGACCTCCACATACATCCATCCAGAATACCATCAAAACCCAATGCACACAATGTAGATTGATACCCACTTTCTTTCAGCGAGTACTGCATCCCCGAAGCGTATGCGGACTCTGCTCCTGATATGCGGGGCTTCTGAGACTCCTCGGCTGACGGCCTGTCCGTTTTTGGGCCTTT